GTCATCTCTAGGTCCTGATACACCATCTGGGCTGGATACGGACTGGATCTGGTGGCTACGGTGACCTCGGAATAAGAACGAAACAGACTAATATTAGCTTAGATGCCATTCTTCTTATGATGTAGCAAGTACATCAGATGTTATAGGAAGTGTTCCCGGTTCCAGTTGACCTAATTAATGCAACCTAACAATCATTTAACGGATTTGAATATTAGAAATGTGTTCGTGTGTTATGTGTAAGACAGGTTAAAGAGATGGGTCTTTAACCTAGATTTAAACTGACAGAGTGTCTCTGCCTCCCGAACAATGTTAGGTAGATTGTTCCAGAGTTTGGATGCTAAATAGGAAAAGGATAAGCCGTCCGCAGTTGATTTTTATATTCTAGGTATTAAAAAATGGCCATAGTTTTGAGAACGCAGTGGACGTGGAGTACTATAATGTGATAAGAGCTCACTCAGGAACTGAGGTGCTAAACCATTGAGGGCTTTATAAGTAATTAGCAAGAATTTGCCGCTCCCAAACACCTCCCATATACAAAGCAGCAGGTGAATTGAAAGTATCAGTAGCAAGTAATCTGACATTTATTTGTTGATTACAGTCATTTAAGGCCTTCTGCAAGTCTCGTATTCCTCCAACAAAATCAGTCTGATTATCCGATCTTATCTCAGAGGACGGGCCTCTCCTAGCAATAAACCTTTGTAAGGCATTGATAAAGGAATCTGTGTTGAGAGTGTACACTACTTCAAAATGGATAGCTCTCATAGTGCACAAGCATCCATACCTCTTTCGCTCACTGCGTCCCTTCTTAATCAAGAATGGTCCAAAATAGGCTGCGTCCAAATGAGTGAACGGAGGTTTTCCCGGTATCACTCAAGAATTAGGGAAGTCTACCATTAACTGATCCTGGGGTTTAGCTCTTAGCTTGCGAGACTACAGACATGATTTAAAGGGGTCATGAACTGCCTTTGTTTTTTTATTTTGTACTTTTCACTGAGGTCCACTTATAATGTTATAAAGTTTTACATCAAAAAAACATAATTTAGAAGTAATAAGATATTTTCTGTCCTGTTTTAACCCACCTCATCAGAACGCTCTGTTTGAATAGGCGTGGCAGATTGTAGACTTGGATGTAAATGGCCACTGCTATGATTGGCTAATAGTTGTGTATGTTTGAAAGCGTACACTCCTCATAGATGGACGCTGCTGTGATTTAGGTCAAAACCGCATAAATAACTCAATACATATTAAACAATCTGTGAGAAGAGAGAAAGCATTAGTGACCATGTATTGAAAACAGTTAATCCACACTCTTGTGTTGTGACATTAGTGTCGGGTCCAATATAATCAGCACGGCATTGTCTTTTAGTTTCAATCTTTCTGAAAATCCAGGGTCGAATTGTGCCTTGTTTGAAAACGAATCCACAATAAAATGAAGTGAACAAAGAACCTAGTTCTTACCAACACGGCCTGGAACTTCATTAAAAATAAAGTTATTCCACTCTTCCCTAATGTTGTGATCTGAAGGAAGGCAATCCATCCAAAGATTTTTCCCCCCACAACTTGGCACTGCACAGCATCTTTTTTGTCTTCAGAGCCAGCTTGCCTCTCTCCTAAACACTACATGTGAGAATTGGTGGACGGGGCTAAACAGGCAGGGATGTAGAAGCAGGCGATGATCTTCTTCTGCAGAGGCGGTGTTTAGCCATACTATTACATAAAAGAGTGGTACATTACACAAGCTGTCGTTTTGGCAAGCTGGCTTCAATATAAGCTGTTTTTAGACTAACGACAAAGTTTTGACTTCTGAAACTTACAAGATGCTTTTATAGTATTTATAGAAGTAGTTATAGTTCATAGCTCTTATGCCAAAAGATCAAGGGAATTTTGGTTTCTTAGTTCATGATCCCTTTAACCCTCAAGCATCCTTCGTATAGCAGCCCTTAATTGGTCCTTTGTGGACATATTTGTGCACGAAGGTCTTAGGTGTTTTTTTTTTAAATAAACCTCATATTACTCACTACCTTTGATAAAACAACAAAATATCAATTTATGCAAATTTTTGTGATTGTACCCCTAAAAGTACTATATTTTTATGTAAAATATGCTTATTTTATGTTATATTTAATATTTATTTTACTTCAGTAAAAAAAATATTAATTCCAGTAAGTTCAGACAGGCAAAACCTAATATTTTGGGGACACTGGTTGTTATGGGGCTGACGAGACGTGAGACGTGCGGATCCATGTGCAAAGCTTCATTCTGGAAACGTGGTCAGAAACAGGCATAAATCAAACATTGGAAAACAGGTATGTAAGAGACAAGGCATGGGCAGTCCGGTAAACAGTGAGGGTCAATCGACAATGAACATAATCCAATAGGGCAAGACTAGAGAGATAATCCAGGTACAAAGCAAAGGTCCAGGCAGGGGCAAACAGTATTCGAACAGGGCAAGACGAGAGAGGTAATCCAAAGTGCACAGGCAAAGATCAGAACACGAGGAATCAGACAAGGCAAGACTAGGCTAAGAGTATGAAATTTCAAGTAGGCTCCGTAATGTAGCTATCACAACTAGCGATATGCACATACAATACTCTGCAGTTTGAAAGGGATCTGAGTGAGTGTTATATAGTGAATGTGTGATTGGTTACAGCTGTGTGCAATCAGTGCAATGGATGATGGGATATGTAGTCTGGGATGACATGCAACAGTTTTTGTGTAGTGTGAGAGTCAATGTAATGGAAGGGTGACCTCTGGTGGTGAGTGAATTGAACTTCATAGACCGGATTCTGTGACAAGGCTACTAGAGCCTACAGGGAGTTAAGGTAAGGTTTCTGGGATTGTGACTGGACTAATGGGGCAAATAACATGTTCATAGATTGACAGTACTAAATTGGTATTGACAGTGGGATCGGAACAGACAGTAGAGTTAACATCAGGCTCATTGCGGGAAACAGGATAATTGACAGACTGATAATTCAGAATTAGGTACATGCGGGAGTTGTGGACTGGCAGACAGATCAAGACCGGGTGCATTGATTGAGACTAGATTGGCAGACAGTTTAGTGATTGAAGATGGACTGACAGATGGTTCAAACTCAGATACAACAGAAGCATTTAGACAGACAGACAGGTCAGGTTTAGATTCCTTGACAGAAACAGGCAAGACAGACAGTTCAAAATCAGACACATTGACAGAAACTGAATAGACAGACGGTTCAATAATGGTCTCTTTGGCAACGGCAGGATTAGCAGGGCCTACAAAAAGTTAATTTAGGGTTTCCATGACCGGTTCGGAGCAGGACAAAAGTTCAAAAGCGGCCTCCGTAGCCATTACAGGACAGGCTAAGAATTCACAGACGGTCTCCTTAGCCGTGACAGGACAGTCAGAAAGTTCATAGATGGCCTTCATAGCCATGTCAGGACAGGACGAAGATTCGCAGATGGCCTCCATAGCCGTTACAGAACTGTCAGAGAGTTCACAGGCGGCCTTCCTAGCCGTAACAGGACAGATAGCGAATTCATAGATGGCCTCCTTGGCCGGAACAGAACAGGACGAGTGTTCATAAGTGGATACCACTGACACCTCTGGAGGTTCTACAGTAGGACCATCAGGATACGGGGAGAGTTCAATAATGGTTCCTTCGACCGTGACATGACAGGCTGAAGGTGCATTGCTGGGCGCCACCACCGCGCAAAGAGCTGAAGCGAGCACCGCCACCTCGGGAGGTTCTGCAGCATGGGCCGCCAACTCTGGAGAAGCTACAGCGGGCACCATCGCCTCGGGGAACATGGCAGCGTGCACCACTACCTTGGAAGAATCTGCAGCATCAGCCTCCACCTCGGGAGACATCACAGTGACCGCCGCCATCTCTAAAGTTTCAGTAGTGGTTGTGTACGCAGCCTAAATACACCATAAAGTGATCCCCAGTGTGGGAAGCACTACAGACAGGGGAAATAGTTCAGGAACTGGAGGACTTAAGAGTGCTGGTTTAGGGATACCAGCTGCACGTGCCGACAACAGCGGTAGGTCCTCCACACTGGATGCCAGTCTGGGATACAGATGAACTGACCTCGGACTTCTGTGTGCAGGAGACAGGAAGTAACCGGACTCTGGATGACCAGCTGTGATGTGACGTGACTCTGGATGACCAGCTGTGATGTGACGTGACGTGACCAGCTGGTATGGAAGGCCGTGAAGACAAATATTTCTTTAGACGTTACGTGTACAGACGATATAACGCGTGGACGTGTAATTGCGTCTAAACACGTTATTTCGTGTACAGACGTTAATGTTTTGGCCAATGGCAAGGCCGGAGACTTGAAAATTTGCATAAAATTAATTAAACATATAATAGTGACGTAAATATCTACCTAAGGACATGTCATTAATGAATAATGCACATAAATGTGACGTGCCATCATACGTACCATAGTACGTGGTCGCATGTCAGCGCTATCTATGGTCACATGATAGTGACGTTGTGTTAGGAATGAAGGAGGAGTAGGTATTTCAAAATACAGGCGGCAGAGGAACCATGGCGTTGAGAAATTTTGTGAACAATTGCAAGCGAATTTTTCAAGAATGTACTCACTTGTGTCTATCAGAAAATGTGGAAGAGGATACTATTCAGTCCATAATTTCAAGGTAAGTCATAAGGTACGCGCTGATGGGCACCGCCCGCCCACGGATTCAAGTTAAGTCACCCTCATTTACATAGCCCAATACAGGTTGTTTCAAAGCAGCTTTACAGTGATATCAGCAAAAAATTTAAATAATATATTGTCATTGTTCAGCTGTCAGTTCACTGCTGAATCAGTTATTATTAATTTTAATCATTCATATTTCATCTATAAAAGTAGGTTGGTTCTTCAGATAGTAATGTCAGCTTAGTTCAGTTTCATACAGCAGCATCAGTACAGTCAGATCAATAATACTGTTGAATGTATAGAGCTTTCAGACACGACTTTATTCTTTCTGTTTTTTTAATAGATTACAGACAATGGTTAGAGGTCTGCAGTGGGCGAGCGGAAGACTTATTGAAGTGGACACTGCGGAAGAAATGATGGCTGTTGTGCAAGAGTTCCTTCAAGAGATTCATGACATTGAACATAACCAGCCATCATCTGGTTAGTTCTTGTGATATATGAATAAACGTTTTACTTTACTTAATTACAGTACATCTAAATGCATTTAACTTGAAATGTATAAATGTTGGGGAGACCAAGAGTTTGGTCTTCTATATTTTAGTTTTGGTTAATAGTCATGGCTATCTTTACATTCCTGCGATAGACTGGCCATCTGTTCACCCAAGCACATGGATACAAACAAACTTAAAATTGTTCATATTAATTCCAAATCATACCGATTAAATAATTTTAAAAAATCATTAAACAATCACATACATTTCTTTATTAATTAACCAAGGTCATTAAATATTTACTGACCATATTGTTTTTAACTAAGAATTTAAGGTTTAATTTGCACCTAGTTGGGGTATGTTAATGTTTGTTCCACCAAAGATATTTAGCACAAATAAAAAGTGTGCTGACTAACCCCAGTCTGATCTAACTTATAGCTACTGACATTAAAAATGTCTCAGTGCAGTGTGGATTGATTTGTGATAATTAACAAAAGAGAAAATATAAATGCTGACATGACCTAATTTCACTATCCCTTTTCTAGAGGATGCACACAGTTATCAGTCTCCCTTTCTGAGGAGCGGTGGTGTAGGGCGACCAAGGCTGGACATATCTGTTGACCAGCTCAACTTTCTACTGTCCCTCAACTTTACTGCTCGCCAAGCTGGAGACATTCTGGGCGTGTCCTATTCAACAATTAAGAATCGGCTCAGATAAAAAAAAATTTTTTAGGTTTTTAGTTATTAATATTTCTTTCTAGACAGATGCAGTGTGCACCAACAGTTGTGTGTGTGAGAGTGAGTGTGTGTGTGATACAACCACATTAATTTTAACCTATGTGAGTAACACTGTTTTTTTTGTGTCATTGTTTGTCTAAAGCTGCTGTGGTGTTATCATCTAACGATAAACTCTTGTTCGTATTCACTCTTTTGTGTAGTGTATGTAAATTTTTTGTGCTTCCTTGTCATTCATTCATCATCTTCGTGTTATTTTCAGTGAAGCATTATTTTGCTGCTCTTCTGCTACGATAAATAGACATCCACCCTTGAATTTTCCTCTTTGTGCTAGCCTGTACTTCTCTGAGAAATGTAAGATGCTAATTGTCACTGATACGCCAGGCTCCCCGTCACACCCACATAGTACCTGAGTATTAATCATAGGCACCTGTCCCTCATCAGTGCAGCACTCATCACCAGTATAAAAGTACGCACCTCTCAATCACTCTGGCATCTAATGTGGATACAGACTCCCCTTCTCTAATTACCGCTGTGGTTCAACTAGTAAGTCTAAAAACAATGGTTCCCCTGTGATTCTCCTTTGTTGCTCCTGTATCCTCTTCTCACGAAACCTGGTAAAAAAAGAATACTGAAGTTATCCACCAGCCATCACTCACAATCTGTCAATCTGCTGTTCACTTACCTGCATTTATCCGTATTGCATAGTGTCAATAACCAACTATTTGGGTTCGTTTATGTTTGTCTCGGAGTCTGGTTTATCCTGACACTTAGAAATTTTTTTTGTTTTTTACCCAACAGACAGTTTTCCATCTCTCTTAAAGGTCAGTACTCCAGGATCTCTAATGCACAGCTTGATGAGCAGATTAGAGAATTGGTTGGAGTCAATTATGAACTTGGACCAGAGGCAGTCAGAGCAAGGCTGTATGCAGAGGGCTTTGTAATCCAGAGAAGAAGAGTGAGAGCAAGCATGCAAAGGATCGATCCTGAGGAGGCAGCCTACAGAGCGATGACTCATCGGTTTCAGAGGAGGGTATATCATGTTGCTGGGCCAAATTCACTGTGGCATATTGATGGGAACCATAAACTTATCAGGTAAATTGTAAAAAGTTGTTTTGAAATCAAATTTGTAGATTTTAGTATACATGATTTACATTCTGATAATTCATACAGAACCTATAAGGATGTTATTTTTTATATTTTTACAGGTGGAGAGTTGTGGTTCATGGGGGAATTGATGGGTTTAGGAGACTTGTGGTGTTTCTTCAAGCCTCCAACAACAACAGAAGTGCCACAGTCATGGACCAATTTGTGAATGCCACAGTCCAGTATGGTGTACCTTCCAGAGTTCGATGTGACCATGGTGGGGAAAACAATGCCGTTTGCTTGTTCATGGAGGTCTGCAGAGGAAGTGCGATGAGAGGCAGGAGCACCCATAACCAGAAGATCGAAAGGCTGTGGGGAGATGTTTGGAGAGGTACCATAAATGTCTACCACTCTTTATTTACTCTCCTGGAACAAGATGGCATGATTGATCCTATAAATGAGAAGCACATGTGGGCCGTACATTATGTATACCTACCACGCCTCAACAGGGATTAGAATATTTTTGTGAATCAGTGGAATCACCACAGACTGAGGACTGCTAGATGCATGTCCCCGTACCAGATTTTTGTGAGGGGCTGCCTTGCATTACAACATCGAGATCTCACTGGGATCCATGGCATTTTCCATGATGAACAAGACAGACCAGTGGCGGCTGACACCCCGAATCCTGTGCCTGAGGTTCAGTGGCCTCAGGAAGTGGTTGTCCCACATAATCACTTTACTGTGTCAGAAGAACATCGGCAACAGCTTCAACAGCAGATTGACCCTTTAAGTGGAGCCAGAGACAGCCTTGGAATCGACGTCCTTCAAGAACTCCTCAGCTTCTTAGCAGTGGACTATCCATAAGTACCTTCAGCTGCAGTGATGCAGACTGCTTTTGTTGCATGCAAAAATATATTTCCATATATTTATCATTAAACTATTTAACGTATGTTAAAATACAGAATATTGCTGTAAAAACGTATAATAAGGAATTGCTTGTTTTCATATATTGCAAATGTGACTATTTTCTGTTACACTGTGTATTCACACAAGTTACTTTCACTCAAATTAGTTATGTTTCTGCTACACAGTAAGAGTAAAGTACGAGTTGAGTTTTAACTCAAAAACTTAATGCAAAACTCAATTGAGTGAAAGTAACTTGTGTGAATACACATTAGTATAACCGTTAATATAGTCAAATTTTCAATATATGAAAAGTGGCAATTCCTTATGAATTATACAATGTTATTGTTAATGCAGTATTCTGTATTTTTTTTTTATACATGATCAATATTGTTTAAATATATGATATATTTTCTTTGTGTAAGGGTATATACAGTAAGAGTATAACTATGCTAGGTTTTCTTTTTCATATTTGATTCATTTGCCCAATTCCAAACCACATCAATATTAGTAACTACTTCTAATTTTGTATTTATTTATAAGTGATATGTGATAAAGGAAGGCTGTAGGTGAAAAAAGCTTTATATTCAGGTGTGGATAATTACGCAGGTTTTCTTTTACAGGTTAAAACTTTTTTTTTTTATTATTTTTTTTATTTTATTTTTTTTTTTTTTTAACTCTGACTGAAAAGTCAAACATGATTAAATGCCCATGAGAAGGATGCAACACTAATAGGAATGCAATCCTAACAATTGCTAAATAGTCAAGCCTTAATTTAGCAATTTCTAGAATTGGATTCCTATTAGTGTTGCATCCTTCTCATGGGCATTTAATCATGTTTGACCTCAGTCGGAGATATAACTTTTTTTTTTTGTTTTGTTTTTTGGACCATTTTACCTGTAAAAGAGAAACTACTTAATCATGCACACCTGAATATAAGGCATTTTTCACTTCCAGCCTACGTTAACAATTATATTTTACTTATGATTAAATACAAAATTAACAGTAGTTATTAAGATTGATATGATTTGGAATCGGTAAAATGTGCTTTGAAAAAAATTATCAAAATATCAACCCTCATAGTAACTATGCATTGTGTGTATATAGGGTATTTGAAATTCTGTGCTTTACTGTTTATGCTTTTATTTTTTTTATTTTTATTTTTTTTATGTATTTGATGCAATACCATTGACCAGTTCTTATAAAATTGTCCTCAGGAAATATTAATGCTGAGAAATAAATTTCAAACTTTTTTATTATATTCCATGAACAGCTTGTGTGAACATAAGATAAGTACTTGTTTAAAACTTTGAATGTAAAAAGAATACGATGCTTAAATGATTTGGAATCGGTAAAATGTGCTTTGAAAAAAATTATCAAAATATCAACCCTCATAGTAACTATGCATTGTGTGTATATAGGGTATTTGAAATTCTGTGCTTTACTGTTTATGTTTTTTTTATATATATAAATGTATTTGATGCAATGGCATTGACCAGTTCTTATAAAATTATCCTCAGGAAATATTAATGCTGAGAAATAAATTTCAAACTTTTTTATTATATTCCATGAACAGCTTGTGTGAACATAAGAGAAGTACTTGTTTAAAACTTTGAATGTAAAAATAATACAATGCTTAACAGTAAAAAAAAATAAAATAAATCTTGGACACACATTTTTCACGTTTTAGATTAATATATTCTATGAAAGAGTCAACCCAAACCACAACACCCACCCAACCCCAATGTAAAAACATAGTGGTGAAGAATTTAGGCAACTCCAAAAGTCAGAGACTGAAGAATGCCAAACTCCATCCAGAACTTAAATTTGGAGAAAGTCTTGTGCAGTGGTAGTCGAATGGCTATACTGCATGTATTCGCCTCTGGGAGAGGCTTGGTTGTATTGCTCACTGGGTGTAAAAACTCCAGGCTTGGCTGAACTGGAAATCCAAGGGGAGGAATCCTGGAAAGTCCAGAGGCAAAAATCAGAATGTCCTCCAGCTGACGTTCTGCACTATAGATAGCACAGGCTGAAAAAGATTGATCAAGTCCTCAGCACTTATCTTCTGGGTGTTTTCCACAAACAGGGCTTTGAACTGTTCTGGATGTGCTTGGATGGCCTCAGCCAGTTTGAGTGTGCTCAGCCTATGTACGTGCATGCACATGAATTTGGGTCCCTCTTTTTAGTAGGTGTCCTCAATTACTATGTAGTAATGTTTAAGTTAAGGTACATAGTAGTTTAAGACACCTAATAAAAAAGTTGTGACAATATATTTTCTGTTACACTAATGTGTATTCACACAAGTTACTTTCACTCAAATGAGTTGTTTCTGCTACAAATGCCTCGCTTATAATTGGTTTTAATGTTTTTGTCTCGTCGCTCTGGCCAGACACGGCATCACAGTATGGTAGGGGCATAACATTTCTGTCACACGCTTGAGGTATTCAGCCAATCACAATGCACTGGATAGCTGGATAGATGGCCAATTAGAGCACACTTCGCTAACGTAAGGCCACCAAGAGTATGTGATATTTCCGTATGAGTGGTTTAATATGTTCCAAACATTTTTTGTCACTTTAGAAGTTATTGATGAATCATGATTTATTTGTGAAAACTTTTTGTACGCAGATTTCATGCACAAATTCATGCATACGCATGCTTAGTGAATGAGACCCAATGAAATGCAGTCTGTACCCGTCCATCAACATACTGATGGATAGAGTGGTTTATTAGGCTCTCCCTCTCATCCATGGATGAAATGTGGCGCATTGTGCCCAGGACTGTGAGTATCTCTGAAGCTTGAAGAATCACCTTTCTTGCTGTACAATCGTCTCTGCATTTTTTATCTAAGTTAAAAAAATAAAACAATAAAAATTAAGTAGCAATTAAAAGCAATGTGATATGGGCAAAAAGTCATATCGGTATTTTTGGGCTAAATGGTATCTCGGTATTTTCTACATTTTTCTATTTGCATTTAGAAATAAAAATCTGTATTTCTTAAAAAACTAAATCTTATTTCACATCCTGCCTAATGTTGTACTACAAACAATGTTCATATTGAAGGCTATTAAAACAAACACAGTGAATGTAACCATGTAGTCTTTTATATATGTGCAAAAAAAGGAAAATTACATTACATTCTAATATTGTAACATTACAATCTAAAAGTAAAAATAATGCTTTTTAAAGTAGAAGTTAAATTCACTAAACTAAAAAAGCACAGAGTAATTAGCTTTAGCCTATATTTTGATTACCCCATTTAGCAAAATTTATATTTTAGTCAGAATTATGGCGATCCTATTCTATTGCGCGCCATCTGTTTGGTGCGCGTGCGCATGCGCACGGCGGCGCTCGTTCACGGAAGTCTATGAAGTTTAGAGGAGATTCGCTAGCAGAAGGCTTGTCTACTCCTGACAGCAAAATGGAAATATACTTTCTAACATTCACAGATGGAGAATGTACCTGTGAAATGTAAGTTATGCGCTGAGGAAAACACCACATCACAAACACATAAAACAGCGCAAGTATCTCTCAGCACACGTATCTGTCAGACTCAGAGCATCTGACAGGGGCAAGCCGCTTTAAACTATATGTGTTAACTATATATCTTAGTCTTACTTGTTAGTTTTAAAGCCCTTAATATTAAGCATGTCTCATGTTTAGGACAAACTGTATTATGCATTTTCCCCACAGCAGCTCACTCTGCGTCCACCGCTATTTTTCAGTTGCGCTTGTATCAAACTGCTGTATACATTGATATAAACGGTATTGCCTTATTCCGTATCGTATATAAAAAATATATTGATGTATCGTACAAACTCGATATACCGCCCAGCCCTAGTAGCAATTTAGATTTTATATATAGGAACACATTTTTTGTAAACAATGTCCTTACTTCTTTCAGTCTTTCGTGAACATGTTGGTCTCCAACATCTGCAAGACTAGCAGGGCCTGTGGCTTTTCCAGAAATCCTGTTATATAGTCTTTCTGAGAAAAAATGTGGAGCAACCCCACCATGAATTAGGCATACAGATATCATCTTTCCAACAATACTGTAGAGGCCTGTATGTAGAGCTGCAACACAGAAGGGAAATACAAAAACATTAGTCTTCTGTGTTCTAGTGTTCAGATAAGATCCATACATGACTTTAGTAGATGGATGCATGTATATTCTAATTAAACCCAAGTAATAAATTGGTTATGGCTGCACAATTTACTAAATTATTTAATGTTGGATCAGTGATTGCTGTAAATGCATACCATTTACATCCAATGACAAATTTTTCTGGTTGTCTGGTCCCTGAAATATCGCACATCTCCTTATATCGGTCAGCAGGAGACGCAAGAATTCGCGCAGTGGTCCCCCATCATCCACTGCTCCCTCTCCTTGACCATCATCATCCATAAAGATAACGCTTATCTTCTACTTTGTGTCAAATCTCCCACGGCCAAAGGCACGCAGAGCACAGTTCATGACATCAGATCTGCAGACGTTTATCATGTTGGCAGTTGGGCTTGATTCGAAGTCACATTGGGACACAAGTTGTTGCAGATGCTAGACCTCAACCCTATAGCAAAGTTCAGAAAAACATTTTTTTTATATATATATTTTA